TTCTTAATTTAGGGGCGCTTGGGTGGCTCAGTCGTTAAGCGTCTGTCTTTGGCTTGGGACATGATCCCAGGGTCCTGGGATCAAGCCTGCTTCTCCCTCTCCCACGCCCCCTGGTTGTGTTCCCTCTCTCGCTGTGTCTCTCTCTGTCAAATAAATAAATAAAATCTTTTAAAAAAAAATTCTTAATTTACTTGTTCCCAAAGGAAAGGGAAAAAACTCAGGGCTTGTTAGGTATTCCTCTGAGTTAATAACCATTTTCCCTTTTTCCACTCTGGGACCTTCAGAGCCTTCAATGTGTTATGAGTGGCAAGAATCACTAGTGAGCATATGGGGCCATATATGACGGAAACTAGTCTAGGGTTTAAAACCTACTTGTATAGTGATGATCTCTACCGTGGTAGGTCATCTACCAAATACTGAGTTAGCACCTTAGTATTTTCTGGAACCAAGAAAGGGAAAAAAAAACCCACAAAGATTTATCGGAGGATATAATGTGAATGTGAGTGTGGAGAGAGAGGATGGATATAGATGTAGATGTTTCCAAGGGTTGGTCAGAGGGAATATGGACATAAATATATATTTACATATGTCAAGTTCATATATAAATGGGAAGGAGAGAGGGATTCCATCATAAATACCCTGTTCTTTGTGTTTTTTTAATTTTAAAATTTTTATTTATCTATCTATTTTAGAGAGAGAGAGCACGCATTAGTGGGGGTGGGGAGGGGCAGAGGGAAAGGGAGGGAGAATCTTACACAGGCTCCACGCTCAGTGGAGCTGAGCATGGAGCCCGAGGTGGAGCTCGATCTCACGACCCTGAGATCATGACCTGAGCTGGAATCAAGAGTTGGATGCTTAGCTGACTGAGCCACCCAGGCACCCCCAATTTTTTTTAAGATTTTATTTTTTAAGTTCTCTCTACACCCAACATGGGGCTTGAACTTACAACCCTGAGATCAAGAGTTGCATGCTCTACTGATTGAGCTAGCCAGGCACCCCATCTCTGTGGGTTTTCTTAATTAAAAGATCCTGTTTTGGGGCACCTGGGTGGCTCAGTCAGAAGAACATGTGACCGTCTCAGGGTCGTGTGTTCGATCCCCACACTGGGGGTAGAATTTACTAAAAAAAATCGTGTTTTATGTTTGTTCATCCTTCCCCCTTTTTCCTTTACAAATACCAGAAGCATAGACATTAAGGGAGTGCACAAGACAAGTGCTTGGATAATGAGTCTGTGCCTGTCACTCACTCACAGGCATTACCGAAGGGGCGGAGGCCAAGCCCCCATGCCCAGCGAACGGGATGCAGATCGATTCAGGAGAAACGGAAATACTCAGAAAAGCGGTCGAGGACTATTTCTGCTTTTGTTACGGTAAAGTTCAGGTCAAGCATTAATTCTCTGAATAGTTCACTAAGGAGTAGGACAGTGTTATAGATCACCTTACTGGTGTGACCCCTTAGATGCCTCTGATGCTTAAAACTCCACATTCTCTTTAAGGGAAGAGCCAGTTCTTCAGGACCAGAATAAGTCTTTTTTTTTTAAGATTTTATTTTATTTATTAGAGAGAGAGAGAAAGCACAAGCAGGAGGGTGGCAGGCAGAGAGAGAGGGAGAAGCACGCTCCCCGCTGAGCAGGGAGCCCGATGTGGGGCTCGATCCCAGGACCCTGGGATCATGCCTGAGCCGAAGGCAGACACCTAACCCACTGAGCCACCCAGGCACCCCAGGACTGAAGTAAGTCTTACAGAAGACAGCTTGATCTCTTGTGGTCCATGGAAAGCTCCAATTGACCAGACTTCAGTCTTCATTCTTTGCTCTAGTTTTAGGGAGCCCCCAGTGGAGGGCCAATGCAATTACAGTTGACCCTTGAACAACGCAGGGGTTAGGGGCAATGACCCCCAGCACAGACAGAAATCTGTGTCTAACCTTTGACTCCTCTCCAAACTTAACTATTAATAGCCTACTGTTGACGGGAAGCATTACTGGTAACAGAAATAGTCGATTAATATATATTTTGTATGTTATGTGTATTATACGATGTATTCCTACAATAAAATAAACTAGAGAAAAGAGAGTGTTATTTAGAACATCATAAGGAGAGACTCATGGGTGGCTTAGTCAGTTGGGTGACCCCACTCTTGATTTCGGCTCAAGTCATGATCTCAGGGTCATGAGATCGAGCCCCGTGTCAAGCTCCGTGCTCAGTGGGTATTCCAAGATTCCTCTCCCTCTGCCCCCTCCCTAGAATAAATAAATAAATAAATAAATAAATAAA